GCCTCTGCTTGAAAGACAGGGGAGAAGCGTGAGCTGCTGGCCAAAGCATGAGCGAATGACAGAGGAATGGAAAGCAAAAAGAGACCAACACTGGAGAAGTCGCCTTTTGAAGTTGGCCAACAAAACTGTTTTGATTCAAGTCTCCCACATCTGTCTGCTGCCTCGTGCAAAAATCCTGGAATCCCCCACCCCCTCATCATCACCGTGTCACACACACACACACACACACTCACTCACACAGAGACACACACGCATGCGCACAGACTCATTTCCAATGCACCGGCACAGATCATGAAAACAAACATTTTCAAGGAAGTTCTTTAGCCAAGTGGCAGATAAGCATGGCTGCTAACTGAACATGATCATGCACACCCTTGTAAGTCCATCTACACATGCACAGTTAGAGCACACACACACATGCACAGTTGGAGCAGAAGCTAATGACATGAACTGACATTGACCTAGTTTCCAGTGGGGCAATGATAAAGAGAGAGTGGAAAGATGAAGATTTGAAAGAGGTTAAGAAACTCCAGGGCATTTTGTGCTCGAGGACAAAGTGTGTTGCGCATGTGTGCATGTGTGTGTGCATATGTGTGCGATTCCACTCAGTAAGGCCTGCCAAGCTGCCATGCTAAGCCAGGGTAAAGAGCCTGTGAGCACAGGGAGGTAAAATCTCAGATTGAGGGCTGCTGAGGAGCGAGGCAGTCGCTGTGGGGGTTACGCACACACTCATCTATTCTACACAGACCCGAGCCAACAGCAACTCACTGTATACTCATTTAACAGAGACTCGTGGCTCTCTCTCTCTTTCTTTCACAGCACACCCTCACTGGTCCCTGACTTGTGGAAACAGGAAATAGAAACAGGCACAAAGGCGTCGGTCTCTATATTTTTTTGTGCATTTTGTTTGCAAATCTCACATGACTCACGTGTCTCCACCTCTGGGCTGCCTCTGGGGGAACATACATGTAGATTTTGGCATGGCAATAAGTGCTGCAACATGGCCCAGTCAGTGGGCCAAGTCTTGCTTTGCTTCCTTCCAGATCTGAACTCTGTGTGACTCTGATAACATTGAAACGAGGAACAATTTCATGCTCTCGTATTCTGGGCACTTTTTATGACTTTAATTGTTCCATTAAGGCGCTTCAGGGTCTGGGAATGCTTTGTCATTTGAGCAATCTGTATGTGTGTGTGTATGTGTGTGTGTGCAAAGTTAATGCCCTCAGGCTCATCAGCACTCAGGTTTATTCTGCAAAAGGACTTCAAGTTCAGGCTTTTATATTAATGCTCTGGATCTGAACTAAATCCACAGAACTTGAAGATTTTTTTACAAAAAGTTTATCATTTCCTTTTTCTGAGGAAACGTCTCGATATCGGTTCAAAGAACACACTCACACACATATGCACTAACAAAGGAAAGCTCAACATGTGTAAAGTTCCTTTTGTTGGTCGAGCTGAATATTTAAATCACTCTAATAGTAAATTTTTCTGCAAGCGAAAACTCAAGGCCTCATGGGCTCATGTTGCGAGGTGGAGGGAGATCTCATGTCCAAGGGTGTCTGCATCTATTACTGGGGGTCATGTTCTTAATCAGATGATTGAATAATGAATTACAGCTTGACACAGTGGAGATTTTGTGAAACGTACTGGACATTATTCAATTATTTTAATTATTGGGTTCGAGGGCTGTAAAAGGTATGCGGTGGACCACAACCCTGACTTTTTTATTATTAATTATTAAACCGATGGTTTCCTGGATTAGTTTAATAACTTTTTTGGTCAGAGCAAGTGATAAATTGGTTACTTATCCATTTTGTGACATTATCTTCTTTGTCTTAACGGTCACTTTTAAGATTTTTGTTGTTGTCTAGTCATCCACAGTGGCCATTATGTATTAAGTGGTTTCCACCAGGAATTAGGTCCACCAGGGTCTTTCTGTGTGGAGTTTGCATGTTCTCCCCGTGTTTGCGTGGGTACTCCAGCTTCCTCCCACAGTCCAAAGACAATGCAGTTAGTGGGGTTAGGTTAAGTGGAAACTCTAAATTGCCCATAGGTGTGAATGTGAGTCCGAATGATTGTCTTTCTCTTTGTGTTAGCCCTGTGACAGACTGGCGACCTGTCCAGGGTGTACCCTGCTTCTCGCCCTAGGACAGCTGGGATAGGCTCCCACGAACCTGAAGCGAACGGATGTTTGGAAGGCTGGGACCAAAAATGTCTCAGTATTACCATTTAAAACCTCCTGATCATATATCTATTAAAATGTTGAATGTCCAACCTTCTTTTTTTCTAACTGAAATATCATCGGTGTCTTTGAAGTCACTTAAAATTACTGCCTTTCACTGAAAGTGCCAAATTTCTTTTTATATCAGAGTAAAAATATGCTTTTATCCTGCTCAAGAGTCCAAGAGTCGAGGGTTATCTATAGACAAACATTTCCTTTTTTCAAATTATCAACACCAGTCTGATAAATTGACTGTCTTGTACAGTTACACTCCACAGCTTTGCAAGCTAGGGGCCAGAGGTCAAATGGTGACCTCGCAAGTTTGACAACATGTGACCCTCACCAGGCCTCACAAGTCTGAAAGAATGGCAGCACACACTAGGTCATTGTTGTTTTTGGTGAGTTGTTCTGGGTGAGGTCCGTGTGACTCAGAGAGAATCCACATGGGCATGAGCGAAGCAGGAAAACCGCATTTCTTGGTTGTAAAATTATTTAATTTCACCCTTGTGACAGCATTCATATTAAAAGATGATATCTGATTTTTTTGTTTGTTTGTTTGGACAGAGATGCATTCAGTCCCTGCCTGTTTACTGACTGTATCAAATGACGCAGATATCATTACTACATTTACCTTCTGCATAAAGTGTTCAGGAAACATATTTTCAAACAATATTTCAAGTGTGTTCATTTCCTGTTCTTTACCAAGAATTGTGGGAAGTTAAATGGCATGTAGGTTCTGTGATAACATCCAAAAGAGTTACCGAACAAAAGGCTTCGAGTGTTGCTGTTCTTTAGATATCCTATCAGTGTTTGTCGCTTTTCTCTCGGTTATTGGCAGAGCAGTTTATTTACCCATCAACCGCCAGTTGTTCCTCAGTCTCAGCCTGGCAAACAGTGCTGAAGGTGATTAGTGTGGGTGAGACCCTCCAAGTCTCTCTGAGAGGGCAGCACAGCCCCAAACAGTCCACTGCATACTTTGAGCATACAGTCATTTTCTTTTTACTACACCGAAATCTACAAGTGACAGGGTGCTGAAATCTGAGGGAGCAGCGCTGCAGTTGTTGTTATAGGCTGTTTATTACCAGCTATTTTCACTGATTTTTCAGACACATCTGTGTGAATATCATTAAAACAGACACTGAAATGCAAAAAGGTTTCACTCTTTGTATTTAGCTCTTGTGAATTTGCTTTATATTGCATATAAGATTACCATACCATTTACCATACAAGATTAAATGGAGATACAGTTTTAGAAAACTATCCAGATCTATTTGACCAATCAGGGGAAAATGTGCTGGCATAGTATAGGATGAAGAGCTCTTGTAAAGACTGATCGCGCCACCTTGTGGTGTGAAATATCCAGTGAAACATGGATGCAGTGAAACATCCTTTTTTTTTCTTTCAGTAAAGAAGAAATAATTAGATATTATATGCAAAATTTTAAATAAAATGAAAAATCATAATGACTTTTAAGAAACACACATTGTGTAAAAATGTTGATTTCTTTATATTTTCCAAGTGGAAAGTAAGTTAATGGATTTATTGAAAGATCTGCAACTATACATGGAAATATAGTACATAAGGTAAAAACTTAGCCTTTTTGTCGTTTCTTTAACCAGTCTTCAGGAATAGTTCTCCAGGCTTCTAGAAAGGCATTCAAAGCTCTTCTCTGAATATGTAATAATGTGTTAAATAAATACGCTACAGTGTTTTTGATAATGCGATTAATGGTTTGATATTCACACCTTTTGACTAGGATCTGATGTTCTGGGGTTTACTTCAAAGTCGGGCTCAATTCTGTCCACTTTAGTCCAAATCATTTGAGGCCACTTATTTGAAATGCAAGGGAATTTTTTTTTCTCCATGTTTCTTTTTTATCTATCACAATCAAAAAGCTGGTAGTGTTTAAATTTAGTAAACTAATGAAACAGAGTAAAACTCCCAAGGCCAAACCTAATCATGTTCAATAAAACAGCCAGAATCTTTAAAATTGTTGCACAAAGTTGCAATTACCATGCTGATCCTAAACATGGAGTTTACGAAATAATAATAATACATTTTATTGGCTCTTGCTTTCAAGCTTCACCATGTGAGCTCAGCCCATGAAGTACAGAAGATGAATCATCCATAACATCAACTTTTCTTCTTCTTCTTTTACCTTCAGAACTGCTTTAACCTGTTAGCAGTCGGACGTACCGCCCACGGTACATTGGATGGTTTAGGGGACTAATTGGACTGCTAAGGGGTTAATTCTTCATGGAACCGATTCAACAAGGTGCTGGAAAGATTCCTCAGGGAGTTTGATCCATATTGACCTGATAGGATGGCATGCCAATATGATTCAAAATCACTATATGTACATGTGGATGTGACGATTTGTCAGCTGCATATCCACAATGTGAATCTCCCAATCCACTAGTATCTCGGTGAGTCAGCTGGTCGTATTATTCTGAAATAATAAGATCAGCCCATCTGACATAAATAACCACACCACATTCAAAGTTACTTAAATCATCTTTCTTTCCCATTCTGATCCTCAATTTAAACGTCATCGTCATCCTGGGAATGTCTACATGCATGACGAAGGGGTTGGTGCCTGTATGTGTATAACAACTCATAATTATGCAGGGTATCTAAGGTTTTTGTAGTAATTGGGGGGAAAAAAGAAAATTTCAATACAACCAAGTTATTCAGTTAAATGTTATCGTGAATACAATGACATCTGAATGCTTTTAGCTTTTCTAAATTGAACAATAATGTGGGCAATGTTGTGAGGAACTGTTTATTTTGTGGTACAATCCCTAGTCACTCGAAGCTAATTCCATTAGTTTGATATCTTTTTGTTGTGGCGTGAATTGACTGGAACTCTTGGATGGACTGCAACACGATTTCAAAACAAAGTTCTGTTATTCTGGTTAGAGGTTTAACGTCAAATAAATCACCAACAAAATCCGATTTAATCACTTGTGTAAAAGACCCAAAGATGTGTTTAACCACATGTAATGTGGACCTAAATGGGGCTTCTAGATACAAAGACCACTGCAGTTTCATATTCAGTATGCAACAAACAAGTGGGATGAAAAGTTATTTTTCTCAAGTTAAGCATGGAAAGTGGGAACGAAAACAAAAGAAAATCAAAACTAATGAGCATGAGACAAATATAGTATATAGAAAAGGATTTGGAAAGCCTGCCAACATTCTGGTTATTTCCTGCCAACACCAGAGACTGTGTTGAGACACTGAGTAAATAATAGCAAACTGCCTGAGAGCGAGACAGGATGTTCTGCAGGCCAAAGGCTGTTCTCAATACAGGCACAAGCAGTGACTTGAGAGTTTACTCAAACAAAAAACAAAACACACAGTAAATAATATAATGGGCAAATAATGCAAAATTGTCCCAACAGTTTGGAAAAATGATCACAGCTCACTGGAAATTATGTCCAGGGGTGCTCTTCTCTTGAGGCAGCTGAAAGTGTTTAAAGGTTTAAAAGTTCTTCTTCTTCTTTTTGTTGTTGCTAGGCCTCTCTGTGTTTCATCTCAAAAACCACTGCTAATTCAAGACCATGCATCTGGCAGTCTGTGAATGTTTGTGTGTTTGCAGGATCGGCTGTTTCAGGCACAGCTCGCTGCTTCCAGCAACAATGGGCATCTGATTCTCCATGTGGAATCGCACCAGGTGGCCAACGCTCAGAAACACCTGATCACGGGTCCGCACCTGGTCAATAAATGGAAAATATGCTTAAAAGTTGCTTTCTTTCTCTTCTTTAAACGATATTTGAATTCCACCAGCAGAGCTGTACCTGTCCATGTGGATCAACCAGCAGTAGGTGTCGCACAGTAGCTCCCTCCATACCGCTGAGTACATACTGACCGGCGGCAGAGCTGCTCTCTCTGACCAGGAAATCTCCGCTACAGGTGAGAAGCGACTCCGCCTGCTCTCTTCCCAACCTGGGATGAAACAAACAAAATTCCACGGGAGAGAATGACCTTGGAATTAGCAGCATTTTGACGCATCACTCATAGTCAAACAGATATTGATTACCAACCTGCCGTGGAACCATCCTTCTTCCTGGATCAGCTTCTGGACCCGCGTCTCAGTGAGCAGAGAGCGTTGTTCAGTATTGACCTCAGACTGCTCTAAATCTGATGGAGATTAGATAGAGGAAGAAAACAACAGTTGAAAAGCAACAGCTTTAAACCCCAATTGAAGCACTGCTCACTTTATTTGATTTTTAATAACCAAGTTAAAGTAAAGTACAGTTTCCTCTGAATCATAGAGGCATAGAAGTCATAATTGTACTTGAGGGACAAACTCGAAACTGGACTCGGATAACGCAGTTGATTTTCACCTGCAGGTGGAGCTGGAGTCTCATCTGTGATGGAGCAGTTCTCATAAAGGGAAACAGGCCCAGGGAAACAGACCTGCAATGGCACACCATGAGTCATACACACCAGACACATATTGTTGGCTGTGCACGTTTGAACGTGTGTGTGTGTGTTTAGGGGCAACTGCGCTGGTAACATTGAGCAGTCATGACAGGAAATTATCATCTGGTAATTCTGGGAAGTGAAGAAAACTTGTGAGGTGATGTTTGGTGAGAAGTAGCTCAAGTGTTTCTCCTCTGGGATCAACATTTGTGCTCAATAACAAGACCATAAAATGTGCTAGTGCACTGTGTGCCTGCTATCATATTTAATTATAACAACATCATTTCTATATTTCTTCACAAAAAAACCCACTTTTTGGCTGCCATTTAAAAATGACCTTGTATAAGTTACAAAGTCTCCTGGAAAAGCATTTCAGCATTTACAGCGATTACTGCAAAGTAATCAGATCCAGCTTATCTGTTGGCTAAATGCTAAAACTTTTAGCCAATGCTAAGTTTGTGAACTTAGTCCATAGATGTGATTATAGTCTACAGTACATCCTATACAATATAAGTTTAAATAATGCAGTCTCATGCATTGCAACATAATTATGTTTCAAATTGTAATGTGACAAGCTATGACATAACACTATCAAAAACTAAACTGTATTCATGCTAGTCGACCACTTTAAAAATGCTGAAAAGCACCAAGAGATGTGGTTTTAAGCTTTTACAACAACAATGGGAACTTTTCTTTCTGAACAAATTGTGTTCAAGGTCCTGTCCTTATATACACAAACTCAAGTGACTGTAAATTATTAGTGCTTTGGTGTTACAGGTAAGTCTTACCCTGTGAATGTTAGCATCTTCTTTGCTCTCCTCTTCTGTGACCTGAAAGTCTTTTATTCCACCTGGGTCTCCTGGGTTCACATTGTAGTAGTCACGGTGTTCACTGAATTCTCCTTCCCGGTTTGCCTTTTGGTTTATTATTAACTCTTCTGGGCACCATTTGTGACAGATTCTCAGTGCCGGTCTGAATATACACATAGTGTTGAGGTATTGGTAGAAGGAAGGAAGGACAGAAAAGACAGATACATTTTAATATCAGATAAAGATACCCTGATATGCCTGATATGCCTTCCCTTGCTAAACCATGAATTAACTGTAATTAATCACATTTTTTTGAAACCTGGGTTCAGTTTCACTTGCCCAGGCCTGATTACCGCCAGACCTGCTGAATCAACAAATCACCTAAATAGAACCTGTCTGACAAAGTGAAACAGGCTAAAAGATCTCAAAAACAACCGATAAACAAACTAATTTACATATATCCGGGTGAGATAGTGAGAGATAGTGGTGAACCTTCCCAGGAGTGGAAGGCACACAGGCTCATCTCACATTTGCCAATTAGCATCTTGATGACCCCCAAGACTTTTGGAAAAATATTCTGTGGCCCGATGAGATAAAAGCTGAACTTTGTGGAAGGTTTGTGCCCCAAACATGTCGGTGGTAGTGTAGTGGTCTGAGGCTGTGTTGCTGCTTCAGGAGGACTTGCTGAAACTGCTGGGACCATGAATTCTGCTCTCTAGCAGAAATACCTGAAGGAGAACGTTTGGACATCAATTTGTGCCCTGAAGCTTAAAGACGCTTTGGTTTTTTCAACAGACCATAAAGTCCAACTCCGAATGGTTCAAAAAAATATTAATGGTTATTCAAAGTCTGGACTTTCATTAGGCCAAAATGATCTGATTGAGATACTTAAGCATAAATCATGCTTGTTTAACATGAACAGTATGTCTGAATTAAAACAATTCTTCTAAGAAGAGTGGGCCAAAATTCCTCCACACCTCAGTTATTCTAGTTATCACGAGTGCTTGATTGCAGTTCTTGTCGCCAAGGGTGGCACAACCTGTTATTAGATTTAGAGGGCAATTACTTTTTCACAAAGGCCCAGTAAGTTCAGATAGTTTTTAGCCCTAATAAACCAAACGTATCATTTAAAAACTGCATTTTGTATTGATTATGGTTCTCTGTCTCATATTAAAATTTATTTGTTGATCTGAAGCATTTAAATGTAACAAATATGCAAACATCAGGACGGGGGCCAATACTTATGGCACTATATACAATCATACATATACACATATATTTTCATGTACATATGAATTCACTTAGAGTCACTGACATAATAATAATAATAATAATAATAATAATAATAATAATATAATGTATACTTTATTGATCCCCGTGGGGAAATTCCTCTCTGCATTTAACCCTTACACTCTGTGAAGCAGTGGGCAGCCATTGGGCGCCCGGGGAGCAGTGTGTAGGGATGGTAACTTGCTCAGGGGTACCTCAGGGTAGCTGTTCAGTGGATTTCGAACTCCCGACCTTCCGATCATGGGGCCGCCACCACTATCCCTGCCCCATACAGTAAATACTGCATAATATTGTTTCTATATTTAATAGCAAATCCATAATATACTATAATATTTATGTATATATACACACATGCATATATATATATATATATCGTAGTGGTTAGACTACACGCCTTTGGAACCCAGGATCGCAAGTTCGATTCCTGCCTGGGGCGTCTGTATCCAGTAAGGGTCCTAAGGCTAGACCCCCTATGCTAAGC